ATACGGTAGATGATGTTCAGAGCCAGAGAATTTCGCCCTGTGTCACAGCACATCAACCAAACTGTGCTTTGAAAAGGAGTGTGAAAAGCTTGGCCTTTTGTCCTCGTGTTGTGGTCCTTGCTTTCAGTTTCCAAAGGAGAAACTCTGCTCCCATGCTGTTTCTACCCAGGGCACTTTCTGGAGCTGAACCCCGGCTAGGGATGCTTGTGGCCTACATCTGATGGGAGGTCAGTTGCTAAGGTGGGACTGTAGAGACTCGATTACATGTAATGATTTTGTGTGCTGACTGGTTAAACTGCAGATTGGAGTACTTGTCTGTAAAGGTGGTTTAACTCCACAGGTTCCTGTCCGGAAAAACAAGGATGAGGAATGAAAAAACATTTCTCAGAGTAAGGGACCTGTCAGCAAATACAGAGGAGTGAATGAAGAGTATAAAACCATCGTCTCTGATGGCTTTATTGCCATTGCAGACAGGCTACATAACATTTAAAAACACAACAGACAAAAGAATTCTGGTATCGTTTTAACGGATTTGAGCAAGGAATGGGGACTGGAAGAAGGTGTTTCAGTGGGTGTGGTTTTGTTTTTTCCTAGGAAATCAGATGATAACATAGAATGTTTCTGGTAATGAATGATGAAGTTAGACTTGTCTAAGTCAAACTTTTAGGTAAGAATGACACACGTATAGTGTATTACTCATTTTAAAATTGTTTATCTAACCAAGGTTTTCCAGCTGCTGAAATAAGCAGTGTATCTATTTTAGATAGGCCCTCGGAACCGGGAGGATTTCAGAGTGAGAACAATGAATACAGAACCAGACTCCAGTTCAGAAGAAAAAAAAAAAGTGGGAAAACAATTATCACATGAATGTTAATGCCTGACCTGTGGAACCTGGCGTGTTGTCTCATTCTTGGGCCTGAATACACAGATCTTGACAGCAAGTTGGGAACATGGGAAAGAGCTGAGTCTCTTTTTAAAACCATATAGCTCATGTTGGTACCTAACACAGGATCATTCGCGTACTTATATCACCATTTGATGTGTATAAACCCACCAAAATCTGCCTCTTCAACAAAACTTCAGAAATTGCTTTTTTTGAGATTTTTCTATTTCAGAAGCATGCATAAAGTCAACAAAGGCTTGTGAAATCCCTGTCTGCTCCATTTATTCTAATTTGAACTTTTGCTTTTTTTTTTTTTTTTCCTCTCCTTTGTTTACAATGCCCTTTTGGAAGTACAAAAATATTTTTCTTCCCCCTACTAATTTTGACTTTTTCCATTTAGGAATCATTGATTCACCCTTATTTTTTGCACAGCTGCCATTCCAATTCTGTTAAATAACTTCTTGTGCCGCAATATCTTTGTTTGTTCCACAGCACCATGGATTGATGTCGACACAGCCATGGTAAAAGAGTACTTGATTAGTTAATTTCTGGCACAGAAACGGGAGGAGGAGAACAAACGTATGCATTTTCATATGTGGCACACAGCATTGTTTAGGTTTTTTTTTTTCTTTTGTGATAGAGAGGTAGATTTTATAATAAACTATCTGGGAATGCAGCTGGCTCAGGGGATTGCTGATGTCCCATGTGATCTTTTTCCAGTAGATTTTTGGTTCTAATTTGATCCAGATTATGATTATCTAAAGACTTTTTGTGGCATATGCAAAATCACTTGATTGTCACAGTCCTGTTCCTAGTCGGCTCCAGTCCACACCGCAGAAAGTACAGTCCTCAGTATCACAGCTGGCACTCTTTGTGGAAAAGGCAAGGATTCACTGCCTAAATTTTCTCTCACTAAAGTCAGAGGTAAATTTTATTTTAAATTTCAATGGAGCATAAGCAAGAAAAGATTTAGCATTAATGCCTTCCTTCCCTCTTCAAAAGATGATCCCTTTCAAGGACACCACGAAGAGGCGCCAACTGTCGCTGGCGCTACAGTATTTTGGAGAGGAAAAAGAGGACTGCAGGCTCTAGTTTGGTAACTGCGGCACCCTTTGAGCAAACAGTCCAAACATTCACATCCAAACTGGAGCAGGTGCCAGAAACCCCAGGGACTGGGTGGACTGGGAAGGAAAGGACTGCTGTTGTCTCTGTGTCATATGCCTCGGTGTTTTCAGAAGGCTTATTTGCTTTGATGCATTTGGATGCATGGGGTCCGCTCAGGTCCAAAACTGCATTCGGCCTCATAACCCGTTCAGAAACTGGAGTGAGAGGAAGGAACTCTGTGCGCTGGATTAACGGAACTGATTATCTCTGCCCTCCTTCCACGGGTCTTCCTCCAATGTATCCTCTATCCTTTTTCTGTCCCTTATTTGCACAGTCCCGAACCGCCCTTTATACGGAACAATAAGGAGTTGGCTGTATATTCCACAGTAATGACGTCAAAGAATAATAACAATTAGCACTTCATTTAGCATCCTAACTATAACACAAAGATGCCTAGCCAGCAGTATCTCAGGCACATGGGGAAACTGGTCACATAGAAAAGAATTTAATGACCTGGCCAGCCATGAAGTAAGCTATTGAAAACAGCAACCGAGATTTTTTAATTTGCAGTGCTAGGTCCATCCACCAAAACATTCTGTCTCACCAAGACTGGCTTTTATAGGAAAATTCCTCATATATAATTTGTAACGATAGTAGCCATGAAACCTGCTATGCTTTTATCCCAATTAATTTCATATCCTCTTTTTCTGACATTGCGTAATACGAGGGCAAGTTGAGTGGAGCTTTTAAGATCCCCTAGACAACTCCCCTGCCATTCTTTTTCCTGGTCTCACCAAATGGCTGCATGAGCTCACCTCAGGAACAGCGCGGACCTTGTGGACCCAGGTATTTCTTAGATCCCCATGATCAGGTTATAGATGTATCTCATCATTCTTTCTGCATGACATCATTTAACATTCGGCTTTTCGTGTTAATCCACACAGGAAAAACCCTTGGACATTCTTTGGTCTCAACTATTCTAAGAAACTTTTCTTCAGTTTGAGGAACGTTGTCCAAATTGCACCTATTCAGGCTGCTGTTGCAAAGACTCTTCTCCCAACTTGCAACCACGGCTGTGTGATTGCGCTCTGCAATTTTCTACTGACACTTTCCTCTTCTTTAATCCCATCAAAGGAAAAGCAACTTCTCTTCAGTTTTAAGGGCCCATCTCCTCTGTCATTTGATGTCTGGGTCTGCTGGCTTTGGCAAGGGAGCGCAAGGTTTGAATGAACACCTCGCCGCACAGGAGGGGCTTTGGTTTTTTCAAGGCAGGAATTTATAGCATTTAGTGTAAATCCCACAGAGACTCCCCAGGAACAAAAACGACAATACCATATGCAGGCAGTGATTAGGTGGAAACCATGGGCAAACCACACGTGTGCCTCGTTTCCAAGAAAGGTACAAAAATTGGCCAGGGGATATCCAGAGAGGTTTACAAATTGCTTAACTTGTTTCTGGGCTTGGCCAATCATTCTCAGCAAGCTCTATAAAGATGATTATTTCATGTATTCTGGTATTAGGGCCGTTCGGGTTTGACAGCCGCTCTGGAGATCTGGAAAGGCCACCGATGTGTGCGGGAAGGGCGGAGGGCACCGGTTTGTTGGGGAAGCGGTGGGGGCAGCGAGCACACAGCACGGCCGGGGCTCCGGCCCGGGCCCAGGGTTCCGGCCGGCTTTGCTGAGGCCGCCCCCTGCGCCCG